AGAGAGAGAGAGAGAGAGAGAGAGAGAGAGAGATTCTGGATTCTACAATATAGGAATGATCTTTTGTCCAAAGTTATTTTTTTTCTCTCACTCTCTCTTTAGTTATGCTCTTTTCCCACTCTCCTCCTAACATGTCAATCAATCCATCTTTCCAGCCTTGGAGTACAGCAGCCTTGCAGAAGGTTACGCATCAGCCATACATCCTGCGCCATGCCGACATTGATAGACTGAACAACCAAGCGAGAAGCTGACAAGATGATCTGGCCACTGGTCCTCTTCCTGCTGACTTTAGGTGAATGATAACCTTCAGAAATTTCAGAATACTTTCCCAACAGATATTCCCCCTCCACCCCACACCCCAACCCCCATCCCCAGACAAACTTTCATTCGTTTTTGCCCCCCCCCCCACACACACACCCCTACACTCCACCCACCCTTTCTACAATCTACAATTGTGATATTACCTCTATATTCTCAAAGAAAGTTTGATGTCCATGTTCTTTATGTAGGTCGAATGACGTAGCCCATGGCTTGCATGCTCTACAGTGGGGGGTTTTTTTAGAGACAGAAGAGTGACAGCCATGAAAGTGGGTAGTCTAGGGGTATAAATAAATGGTGTATACAATCAGGAAACGACAAATGCAGTTTTGGGGACACAAAAATAGACATAAGGGTCTTGAACATCTAGCTCTCACTGGCAAAATTGAGGGCAAGCGAGGCAGGGGTAGGCCCAGAACAACATACCTAGGGAACCTGTACAAATGGGTAACAGGGAAAGATCAGGGAAACGTAGCTTTTTTTAGAGTATCCGAGCAAAGGAATGAATTGAGAACCATGGTCGCCGAGGTGTGTCGCAGGGATATAGACTGAGTTGAAAACAGCACTGAATTAAGTTTTTCTAATGTACTCGACATTTCAAAATGTCATGTGTTTGGTTCGTTACCATAGAAACAGCGGACTAAACTGGTACAAATATTATCTGATTGTCGTCCTGACAATGATATTAACGTAGCTAAGGAACATTAATTTATAAGACTCAGCTGAAAGTGAATGGACGCATTTCTCCTCGGTTATTATTTACACAAACACCATTTCACATCATCACTCACAACCACCATTATATTTGAATTCATCATTGCTCTCAGATCCCTGGCATACACCTATAATCCTTGAACCTCTATTATCTGTAACAGCTACTTGTTATGATGTACATTATTATACACTACTGGACACTATCATACGCACCTTTCTTCTACTAATCAGACATCGTCTTCAATCTCAGAGAAATGAGCAAGGAACTAGTAAAAACAGCAAACAAAAAACCCAACAAAAAACAAGAACAAAAACAACCAAAAACAACCAAACAAATTTTAAAAAAACAACAAGACAACGGACGTAGCTAAGGTAATTAGAGTGATGGTTCTTTTCCCCGGATGGGTTTTGGGAAATTATGTTGAAGATATCCATAAAATGTTCTTCTTTTTTTTCTACAATGGGATTTTTGTTGAATGTTTTATCCTCTTTTTGACAATCAAACACTAGCTGGCGTGCTCTGGGTGTGGCTTCACAGTAATATCATGGCCAGTGAGGACGTTTATTTGTTTCGTTTGTTTGTCTGAGTCACAGATAAGGACAGACGTAAAAAAGCTTTCCTTCTTAGCAGGAGAAAAAGTGCGAAGTGACAAGCTGAAATAAAACATACCCCTCCTCCCTAGCACACATAAACAAGAAGAAGAACAAGTAGGAACTGGTAATAGCATTCTCAAACCGCACCATTGTGTTTTCTAACAACAACAACAACAGCAACAACAACAACAACAACAACAACAACAACAACAACAACAACAACAACAGGAGGTCCGGCGTTGGCATCTCTTCGGGGAGGTTTCAGGGAGGTTGGACTGGCTCACCCGCTACCCAAGGGAGGCGGTGGCCCTGGCGAAGAGCACGCTCTTTGGGGCCTCCAAACATTTCGAACAGATAGGCTACCACACACACACACACACACAACAACAGCAACAACAACAAAAACAACAACGACAACAACAACAACAGCAACAACAACAACAACAACGACAGCAACAACAACAACAATAGTATATTATATAAGCCAATGTTGAAAGCCGAGTCCAGTCTTAAAAGTACTTTTACTTTCATTGGGTTCATCAAGAGGTCATGAGCGGGGACGACGTCATAGTTCATGAGTGTTGCTTTGCCCGAGAAATTACTGCCGCGTGCTTATCTTTCGGAAATCTCCCATCGTTTGAACCGAGGTCGGCGCTATCTGGTCGGACAAGACACAGGGAGGCAGAACAGGACACGGGGTTGGAATGACATTCTGGAAGGGTTGAAACAGTTTTAATTTGTACAACTTCCAACTCCTGTCGACAGATTTTATTTGCTGTAAGGTTCCAAACAGACTTTATTTACTGAAAACTTTCAGACAGACTTAATTCTCTGAAAGGTTCCATACATACATTATTTACTGAAAGTTTTCAGATAGACTTTATTTACTGAAAGGTTTCAGTGAGACTTTATTTACTGAAAGGATTCAATAACAGGTTTGAGACAGACTTTACTGAAATACTTGAGCCAGAGTTTATATATCGAAAGGCTAAAGACAAACTTTGCTTAGTGAAAATTTCTGCTTGGTATTGAAAGGTTTGAACCAAATTGAAAAGATTCAGACATATTTTGTTAATAGAAACGCTTTTTAAAAATTTTATTTTATGAAATGTTTCTCAGCGGGTAGTTGGTTGGTTGTCACTGGTAGGTTTCATGTCGGTTCTTTCCCTTTGTTTCTGTTTGTCGTTATTGCTTTTTCCATTCACGTATAGACCTGTCTTGTATTGATGTGCTTCTAATAAATAAATAGATAAATAAATAAATAAATAAATAAATAAATAAATAATAACAGTTCACTCATCATGAACTGATGAAGAGCTGCGACAGCCAAGGAGGAAGAGAAGTTTTGAACCTCGTTAGCTGCTGCAGGTTGCTGCAAAAGTGTGCTATCTGTCTACACAGACACATTGTTGGTAATTACGGCGTGGTGGAATCGGGCTTTCGTCAATTTGGGGGTATATAGAGTTTTTGGTGTCATCTTACAGCTTGTTCGTTTGTCTTGCTTTGGAGGGGAAAAAATTCATTATCTTAAATACAAGTCGAGATATTTGCGAATGAAAGAGGTGGGGGTCACCTGGTTTCTGAGTTAAAATTAGTGAAAACATTGCTGCCAAAAATGAGTTATTTCCTTTGCTTAAGAGCCCATGGAGACTGAACATTTACATTCTTTGTGCCTGTAATCAACGCTTTTCAGTAATATCCACACAGAAATGTGTTCTCTAATGGGCATGAAAGGTATTGGGGCAAAAAACGAAAATTAGTTTAAAATTCATAAATTTGCGAAAAAATGCCAGTTTCTTTACTTTGATTATTTTGACGAGCACCCGATTTCACCACGCTGCCTCACATTATTGTTAATTACGGTTAAACCATCTCAGGGTTTTATTCGTGTCCTTCAAGGGCTATTCTGTTTTGGAAGAATTTTCCACAACGCAGCGGTCGTGATCTGTTGGGCCAGGATCAGTGTCAGGATTTGGCTGCTTTGATTGTCCTATTTCTCTGGCTGCCCCTGCTCTACAAACTCTGTTTTTCTCAAAGGCCTTTCTTCCACTTCATACGACTGCTTTACTCTACTGTGATCGGTCAGGAAAGAGGGGTTTCCCCACTCATTCAAATCGATAGAGCCAATTTTTTCATTTTTATTTGTTTTTTGTTTTTTTTGTTTCTTTAGAAGGACGTTCCTCCATCCACAATACTAAGTATGAATAGAATAGAACTTTGGGGAAGCGTGTTTTTTTGTCTTTCGGACCAAGTGTTCTGCCCATCTAAGCTTGCCTTTCTGCAGATGGCAGAGCTTATTAGGGTACTTTTGCACTCTCAAGAACTTCAATGTGTGGGATCTTATCCCTCCAGTGAATCCCCAGTATTTTTCTCAGGCAGGAGAGATGGAACCAGTTTAGCCTGCTGGCATGTGTTTTGTACTCATTCCACTGCTCTTATATCTCCATATAAAAGGGTTGGAAATACAAAAGCGCTACACATATTGAGTTTTGACTCTGTGCGTGTATCAGATACATCGAAAACTCTACCCCCCGCCCCC